AGAGACAGTGGTTTCTATCGTTTAGTAATTATTTCAAACCTCGTATTTCGTATTCGATAATTATTTCACGTATTCGTAGCCATAGATATTTCTAAAACAAAGAATTTGGCAGTGCAACTGGTAAAGCAACGTCTACAAGTACGGCTAATTCAATTATTGCGACTCGATATATGAAAATATAAATAAGAAAGAAATTTTCAGAAACTGCTAAAAAGATAAACAAATTTTGCTACATAACAACTAAGAGTTACTGGAGTTTCTTAAAAAATGTGTTAAAAATGATAAAATTCTCATCTAACTGGGAACGAGCTACTTCGTCTAATGATGTTAAAGCTAATGTCATTTCGTTAGATGAATGCTTTCGGTGTTGCAGTCGAGAAAATAAATACCCTTACATTTTAAACATTTTTACTTTACGATTCGCAGACTTGAGTTATGTTAAAGTAAATCTGAATATTGTTTGTTCGATATCGTTAATCGTAACGAAAGTTTCACAGGGAACTTAGTTTCCTTAAGAAATTATTGATTTCAAAGTAACAATCTAAATCCAAGCGAAGAATTTTATATTCGTATTAAGCACTTCGACGTACCAATTATTTTTCTCTGAATTAATATATCTTTATCGTCAACTCGCTTAGTTAAAGAACCTACGATATATATCTAATACATTAAAACGTTTACGATATCGGCATACCTGCGTTTTGTACTATTCGTGCAGTAGTTGCTGCAGTAGTTTCCCCAGACGCCGATCCCGCAGTGGACACACTAGCACAATCCACATCGTCTCGTTTTCCATCTAATCTATAAAAACAATTTGTTAATTTATCTCTCACCGTACGAATCGAGAGGACGCATACGTTTTCTTATAGTATTCGTTAAAAGCACAAACCTATGCTGTTTTAGAAGCGTACAGTCTCCACCTTCTGTCGTATCCAAATTATAAACATACAAATATCCATCTGCGCTAGCCACCAACAATCTAAGTACCTGTTGTACACTGCGCAGTGGTACACATGTTAGAAAATATATCTACGCTAGGGCTGTCCTTATTTCGATCATTTCTGAAATCTATGTTACGCACCCCCTGCATACCTTGCAAATACATACAACAAAATTCCTGCAAAGCTTCAGCTCTCAATTTTAATATCAACACGTGTTATAAATGGGAAATACATGGATTGCTTTCAATTGATTACTTTTATTTCGATAACTCTGGTAAAAATTAATGAAATTTGACATTTAGTTATTGAAATTTGTATTTGAATTATAACCTTATACATCAGTCTAGTAATTACGAAGCTATTTTCTCTACTTGAAGTACTTTTGTAATCCTATCGTAAATGTTTCGAATATAAATTTTTCTTTAAGAAGAATTTTTGTATACTAAATTCTTGAATAACCTAAAAAAGAATTTATGTTTATGGAACATTTATCAAAAATAATATGTAAGTTCATATTCAAGCCATTTAAAATAATATTACAAACATATTTCAAGTAGAAAAAATAGCTTCATATTTACTGGACAGATACATAAGGAAATAATTGAGATAAAAATTTCAGATCGTTTCATTAGTTTTTAGTGAACTTAATGAAAAATAAGTAACCGATTGGAAAAATTCCATGTATTTTCCATTTAAAAGTTTGGAAGGTTTTGGGCACGTGTTAATATTAAAATTAAGAGCTGAAATTTTACAGGAATTTTGTTGTATGTGTTAGCAAGGTATTTAGGAGGTGTGTACCATATATTTCAAGAATCATTAAAATAAGGACCACCCTGATCTATGCGTAGGTATAATTATTAATGAAACTTACACCGTGATGGCACAAACATTCTTCAGACCTTGAAATGGTAAATGGACACTGGCAAAGGCACGTCCTTGGTTAAAAACGTCGGTTACTTGCGTAGGTAAGTAATTAGCTGACGCAGACACAGCCTTTGTTAAATATCCCATCCAAGTTTGCGATTCCTCTGTTGCTTGCGGTTTGTAACGATTGGTTCCTCCGATTTCTTTCGGTTCCTCCAACTTGAATATATGCACCGTTTCTGTATTACTCGAGCAACAAAGAAACATAGAATCCAGGCTAAAAGCGAGACTGCTTATGGATACGCATCTCTTAACTCCCCGTCGAAACTCAAATAGTTTTGTACCATCATGAACCTTCAGAGATATAAAGAACCTTCAGCAATGCATCTAAATTTAGGAACTGAACAAACAATTAGTATCGTACGAATAATTAAACTTACATGAAAAACTCTAATTACAGTACCCCTCTCAGAAGCAGTAGCTATTTTGGTACCGTTAGGATTAAATGCAAGTGCTGCCAATGGGCTGTCGTGTGCAGGAATCATGGTTTTAGCTTGCTAAAAGTAAAAGAAAATGTAAACCAAGTGTTTAAATACGTAACATTCGTTCAAGATCTTTGTCAATGCTTACAAGATTGATCGCGTCGAATATTTGAACTTCTCCGATTGTATTCGAGCCTGGATAGGCTAAATAACAGTTGTCACTGTTTATCGATAGGGTACACAGACCTGCTAAATTAGGTGGAGTCTCTCGAATTGTATGTAGCACCTTCATAGTGTTTATATTATGAATATACAACGATTCTTGCAAGCATACTACTAATCTCTGTAAATTCACATTATTAATTTTGGTAGATTATTAGATCCAATCGAGTTATTAATGCAAGAATAACTCTGTAAGTTATACATGATTTGGAAGATCAGGTAAAAATTTAAATAAAATAAGATACTGCACGTTTCATTTTTGTAATTTAAAAAAAAACTTACTGCTCTATTGAGCTTCACAGCCAAGATGGTATTCGAGTAACTGTAATAGCAAATTTCGGTTCCTTTCCTAAAATGGCAGACTCTGAGTTTACGGGGTGACGATAGACTAACCATTGCCACAAGGCTACTGCTGAATAGTCGTTCAATGATGCGTATGTCCTCGGTATCTACAGTTCACATAATTACACATCGTCACATACTCCATAAAATTATCAAATTTAACCTGTTAACTTATTACCATTTTCGTATATATTTTCCAGATAGTCGACAGAGTTCAAAGAATAAAGCTTGTAGCCTGCTTTCGATCCTACTGCCAAAGATCTGAAATAAATTGCATCGGATATAGAAACAAAATAACGGTCACACTTTTTATAGAGAGTTTTACAGGCTTGTTTCTTATTTTCTTATCGTTTGTATTTTATAGTCTGCTCTCTGATTATCAACACAATGGAGACAATGATAAGCTGCGGGAGACCTGCTAAATACTGTATATTTACTTCTATTGGTACATTCTATTGGTAATGCTAGCGTCTAAACATTTGAGCAGCTCCAAAATTAGTCATTGTTTTGATTGTCTAGTTTACTTATTCGATAAGAAATACATGCAGCGCAATGTTTTTATATATACTCTAGTTACTACATCTTTCATCGTAGCTGAGGTTATGAAAGAACAAAGTAAAAATTGAGTATGAAATCTACTCTCTGTACATTATTAACATGTAATTACTCCATTAGAATAGAATCAAGTACCTAAAACATTGGAATACATGATAGCATATGCATGGAATACAAAAACGTCGCAATTGTATGGCTAATCTAGAGAAGTGAATGTACAATCGTTCCCCTGTATATAAAGGTTTGTTGAAAGTAAGTAAAGCAAGGTTAGTGGATAAAGAACGACGTTCTAGCGAACAAGGGCGCGACACTTACGTGCAATCCTGATTGAAGTTAACAAAGTAAACACCACTTTGAGGATCAGTAGTTTGATTTGCGAGGTTCATTAGTCCTGATATACTGTATTTTAATCCTTGCGTCAATACATCCACGTTACGCGCGAGATTTTGCATAAATCGCACAGTCGATGCGTGCACAAGAACCCTGTCCGCTTCTTTATTTCTCTTTCTACGCGTCCCTTTCTCTCCTCTAGCAACCTTGCTCGTTACCTCTTCGTCGCACCCGTCTTCGCACGTACGCAAATACAAATACACGCACGCGCTCGCTTATACAATATTTTGGGAGCAGATGTCGGATGATGCCTACAAGTGATTATACGTTGCATACAGTCCGATTACTAATACCACCTTTGCATCGTACATCGAACAGCTGACGGAGAGCTGAACCCGCGGAACGCTGGAACGCGGAACGCCAAATCTCATTTCCTACGCTTCGGCTTTGTTGTCATGACGATGACGACTGCTATGACGAAACCTCCTCGACCGAGGTTTATTTTAATTGATTATTCTTACAAGCTAGCGTTTCGGCACTCGAGAGGGCAGCTAACGGCAAATATAAACGTCGCACGTTAACTGCACGTTAATTGCACCGAGTGCAATAATAACGTAGCAACTTACAATAGAATAAGAAAAATATCTTCATTCCTAATTTTACTATTTTCTAATTAAAATATAAACGTCCCACGTTAACTGCACCGTTAACTGCACGTTAATTGCACCGAGTGCAATAATAACGTAGCAACTTACAATAGAATAAGAAAAATATTTTCATTCCTAATTTTAATATTTTCTCTACTTCGCAAATTACCCTCGGTATCTTATCACGGTTACGCTTGCAGTTCCCTCTTTTATCGGTGCAACGAAAGAGAGAGAGAGAGAGGGAGATGGAGAAAGACGGGCAGAGAATCTCTCCGATTAATCTCACCGAACGTGGGAACCGCATTTCAGTAGATCCGTAGATTTCTGACAAGGTCCACGTCGGTAGCGTCCGAGTACGTCCGAGCGAATGACAGATTTCGTCGGGCCGTTTACAAATCTTTTTTAACACCTGTTTTAGCGTTACGCGCGAGTAATTCGATTATGTAAGGCATGGAGTTAAGTGGACGGCCGAGTGTCTCGTTGGCATTTTTAATCGGATAGTTGACATCCGACACCTCGCGCGGTCAATTATTTTTTCGTTGAGCTACCGAGGATACGTCATGGACACCTCTAGTCTTCCACAGCTAATTGCGGCGCCAATAAAAAATATTTTAGACGTTCAACGCATCAAAGCGTAAGATATAACGACTAATAATAATTAACGAACATTAATCTGTACAGTATCGATTCGATATTAACTCGCTTCATCTCCTCAGTTATCCAACAATGATTGTCCACAGTAACATTTGTATTTAGATACCAATTGATATTATGTATCTAATCGTTGCATGATACATGTACTTGTAGATACGAAGCGTAACTTGTATTTCCTAACTCTATTTGTAAAGTATTCTAATTAATAAAACTTTTAGTTCCTCCGTAGCATGTTATTTCGTACAGTGTAACTTTTCTATAACCGAAGCCTTAACAATCCTTTATGTAACTCGAATGGCTCCAAATTCTCCGTACTCCAAAACTGAAGAGTGTGCTTAATCTCTTTGTTTTTGTTGTATTCCATGTTTCAAACTTTCGTCATACTTGGAAACTTCAAAGATTTTCTTGTCGTAAACTCCTGTTGTTTCATCCCGATAATTTTCCTACGTGTGTGCTACATATACTCTTTGATTTCATTCCGTTTGCCTGTAAAATTAAAGTTTCGCATGTACCGAATATTCTAATTAAACGTGTTTAAATGGAATGTACCGCTGTACTGCTTGTAAGCGAACAAGAATGCATAATCTCGTAAAAATGGAGCATCCAAGTCGCACGGAACACTGAACAATCGAATCCTTACGATACTTCGGACCATCCAGAATGTTATCATCGAATGTAAATTGACAAGTACGTATTGTACATATTCTCACCTAAAAATTCATGTAATGTTTAATGCGAAATTGTAAGAAGTACACCGAGAGCGAATAAGAATGAATAAAAGTTGTAAAGAGGTACGCAGATATGCGAGCAAGTAATTCACAATCACATTCGTAATCGCGTTGTTTACGAGACGCTGTTTATCTAAAGCAATATAAACAGTTGCATTTGTGAATAAAGAAATTGTAATTCATTGACTCCTAGATAAAATAATTAAGTTGTGTACGTGCTGTTATTTTCAAGAGTTATACTGCTAACTCTGTAGATGTTTCGGGTCAATCAGAAATCTCAGTTTATCTATTGTAACTTTTTACTAGAAAAAACAACCAGTTATCTTTTGTAACTTCTATGCAATGGCTTATGAAACCAAGTAATAAGAATCTACAAGAATCTAATGCATTGCGTCACCTTCTATTGCAACCTTTTATAGGGTGTAGGTGCTATTTTCTCTTTTCTTTATCTGTATTTACTTCTTTGCTCTTCGGATTCTAGTAATCAAGATTCAAACAGGTTGTACGATACCGTTGTCCAACTTCTGCGAACGTCTACTTCTCTTTCTTGTAGAAGATTCAGTAACACCTGTTACTTTCTACAAATATTTGATATTCATCTTTTAAGTGGAACTTGACCTTAGCTCACGATGCTAGACTAATACAGAGGTTCATTATATCGCTTAGTTTCAATGTTTTTGTTCAAACTACGCGTAAACAGTGGTAGCAGTTATAATCTCGTGTTTAGAAACATCCACATTTACTACATACTGCTAGACAAGTTATTGCGTAACAATTTATCGTTCCAGGAACTCTGAATCAACACTAAAGAGCAGTAGACGCTGCAAGAAAATAGCTAGGGTACCTCAGGATTGCTAAGCCTGTACTGTAGCATGCATATTCACATGCTACAATATGCAATAACACATTTCAGATATTACTTCTTCGTTCCTCAAATACTTTGCCCCTCGAAACCATAAAATCTCAACGATTTAATTGTTTCTACTACCCATATAGACCAGCTGAAAAAAGAATGAGAATAATTTATACCGCTAACATACAAAATTAGAAATCTAACAAATTTTCAACCACCATTTATGTAGCGTAGTCACTAACAGCATCAAAGAACTTTCTTGGCTAAACACAGATGGAGGATGAAATTTTATATTAATTATGCAACTAGCTTTCTCTTTTATAACTTAAACGATGTTTACAAGCCTGCGATCAGTTGAACAGTTAATAAATGCTTTAGATGATAAAGAAAAGTAAGCATTAAAAAGGAGAGAGAAGACGTACCACGTAAAGCTGTTAAATTTTTACAGAATACAATGGATGAATCCACGAGCATGTACAAATGAAGCGTACACACCTACCCCCATAGAACATGTAGCAAATGTGGCTACTCATGGGATTTGGGTGGTGCCATCCATCATGGGTGGTTTAGAGCTCGTCCAACGTTCTACAACTAAGACACAATTGGTGTCAGCTTGTGTATATGGTACATCTTTGATTCTTGTTTTCGCAGTGTCCACATTTTTCCACAGCGTACATTACTACAATTACAACAGGTACTCGTAAGCAACCATTTTGTTTAATGGCGAGGACGTTGTTTAACGTTAATTTATATTACAGGCAACTGAAGGACGCCCTGCATCGCTGTGATCGCGCTATGATTTACGTTTTCATAGCAGCCAGCTATTTTCCTTGGTTGAACGTAGACTACTTCCCAGACGATGAGTTGCTGCACTCTATGCGCTATGTTGTCTGGATCATGGCGATAATGGGAATACTTTATCAGCAAGTCTTCCACGAACGATACAAAATGCTGGAAACTATTTTTTATTTATTTATAGGAATTGGTCCTAGCGTTGCAATTATCAATAATGTAAGTACACGATTATGCTTCGAGTATTATGTTTGAAGTAGTGTAACGTCTTGTACGATTACTGTAAGAATAATCATTCGAGTTTGAAACGTTTCGTACGCTAATGCTTGCAGAATAGTTATTACAATATTACCGAACTAAAACTGGGAGGAATTATTTACGTGTTTGGCCTGGTGTTCTTTAAATCCGATGGTCGTATACCATGCGCGCATGCAATCTGGCATCTTCTTGTCGCTGCAGCAGCTGGGTTTCACTACTATGCCATATTAACTCATATATTTCCTCCATCTGGCTCTCCGGACATTTTTACCCAACACAAACTATTAAAGTCTCACATCGAAGAGTTATGAAAACGCTTGTTTCTCCTACAAATTAGAAACATTAGAAGCGACAAGATCTAAAATACAATTCAAGATTGATTAGAAATTATGTAAACGTGAACGTTACATAATTGGAAAGTAATTGTATTAAGTACCTGAAGCGTAATTCAAGTTGCATCCATGCATCATGGATGTTTATCCAAATGTTACTATGTAGCTAAATTGTGATTAAATCAAGTGTGAATTTTTATAATTATATGAGCAAATTATGACATACATGATCTCTGTAACACGATAATCAAGTAACAAACAAAGTTGACTGACTGTATTGGACTTCAAATAATATACGTATACATTATTCTTGTACTTTCAAGCGTACCGTGCCAAATTATTGTTTGTATATACAAGTAATACAATTTCTGAGCTCCAGGAGAAAGGATGTTAATTTTCTTGCTAGTTCTTTCGTAACGAGTTTGATAATACATTAGACTGGTCTTTATTTGAATGACACACCCTCAGATATACCTTGCAGATACATACAACGAAATTCCTGCAAAGTTTGAGCTCTGAATATTAATATTAACACGTGTTATAAATAAGAAATACACGAATTAATGAAATTATTTGAAATTTACCAGAGTTATTACTTGCAACGATAGGAAAAAGCCCTAACAATTTCAAGTTTGTACCTCAATTATTTTCTTGTGTATCGGCCCAGTAAATATTAAGCTATTCTCTTTACTTGAAATATTTTTTTAATACTATCATAAATGTTTAGAATATAAATTTTTCTTCAAGAAGAATTTTGATATACTAACCTCTTGTATAACCTGAACAAGAACCTTTATTTTATGGAACATTTAAAATAATATTACAAAAATATTTCAAGCAGAGAAAATTTCATATTTACTAGGCTGATATATAAGGAAATAATTGAGATAAAAATTTGAAATTTGTGAGGCTTCTTCCTATTACTAGTAATAACTAAATTTCAAATCATTTCATCAATTTTTACCTGAGTTATGAAAATAAAAGTAATGGATTGAAAACAATCTATGTATTTTCCGTTTACATTAAATCAAATTTTACAGGTATATCTTCTTCTGTATTTGGAAGGTATTTAGGGGGTGCGTAACAGATTTTGGAAGTCATTGAAATAAGGACCACCCTATAATGCAATGATATCCAAAGCTTTTATTTCTAGCAATTCCAAATAGGTTATTTATAATATACTGGCTTTTGTTTACAACTTCCGCCCGCGCGAATGATGTTTGCTTGTTCAAAGTTGCTGGTTCAGCGTTAACGTAGCCTTTATTTCAAGTATGAGACGATACTTGTAATTTCTAGCGGTGAAAAGTTTCGCCTAAATCGGTCCAATGGTCTTTGAGGTTGTTGTGCCTAATAGACATATAGGCATAGATACGCAACACCTAAACGGACCACTTTATATAATTGTACCTATTACGTATTAAGAATTCGATAATCATTGTAAAGAAAGTGTACAGAATATTGATACTTTCTTATTTATATTATATTTTACATTGTAACCGAATATGATTTTTATGTATATAATATGTGTATTATCGATAGTGCGAATTAATAAAAATAAGTAGCCTCGATATTATTTCTTTAATCGATCAAAAAAAAAGTAGCAATCGCTTTCATGGTATCGCTTCGAATTCAACATCGATCGTGGTACAAGGGCAAGGATGATTCCTCACACACTGAATCCACATAATTTATTCGAACAAACTGAAAATATATAAACGATATATTACGGTTAGTTTTTCATCTTTTTTTTCAAGAGAGCTTTCCGTTTCTTTTCCAAGGCTTCCATGCGCATATCTTCTAAATCCTCCATAATACCTAGAAATATATGTGTATATATATATTATTGAATTTCTTATTCCGAATAGAATTACCCGAGCAATTCACTTTGTTTACCTATTTTAGTCGACACATATTCTTCCTTAAGTTGCTGCGCAAAACTACTCTCCATCGCTGCGTCGTCGTCGTCGTTGTTCCCATACTTGTATTTACTTTTATCGTAACCGAATATCTCGCTTATGTATTTACTGTAGTCTTCGGCTTCATCCTCGACTCCATCGTCGATGAAATCATCGAGTTCCGAGTCGTACTCCTCTTCGTTCTCGTCGTGTATGCGCCCTGAAAATTCCACCATAGAGTCAACGAATAAGAAGAAATTATTCTAACGAGTTACAAACAAAACGTAGGGATACTTACGTTTATGAACAACCAACGATTTCTTCTGCTCCTTCGAAGGAAGCATGGGCTTGGGTCTCATCGGTTTGTGATCCCTTGGCGAAACCTGTTTCGCAACTTTCCCATTCGTCGTTGGAGCAGTAAGAGATCTCGCAGCACTCGACGCTAGAGATTCTTTCTGTCTGTCACTCTTCGGGGCACTCTTCTGTTCTGGAATCTTCGACTTCGACGCGCACTTCTCCGATGCGTTATGCTTCACGTCGTGAATCTTACTTTTACTTAGCTGCAGCTTCTTCTTCTCTTCTTCTATAGATCGTCGCATCTCCTCTAATTTTCTCTTTTCCGCTTCCAACTTTCTACGCTCCTCCAGAAGCACATCCTTCTCCGATGATCTTGAATTGTTGGACTTGCTTGCGTTGGATTTATTTTCATGAGGTTTCTCCACATTCTTTTTAAAAGGGGAAGGCTGTGTTCCTGTTGCTGCTTTTACACAAGCTTTATTATTGTTATTATTATTATTATTATTGTTGTTGTTGTTGTTGTTGTTATTATTTTCAGATGATTTAGATATTCTGTTATTATTGTTACGACAATCTTGCATTTTGTTTGATTTATTGGATATAGCAGTGTTTCCTTCTTTGTTAGTCGCACTACCATCCTTAACACGTTGCTCTTTCTTTTCTCTCCATTCTCTCTCCTTCGTGTACTCCATCATCTGTTTCTTCGTCATCAATCTCTCTGGTTTCTCAGCCTTCGGTTTCACATCGATTAGAATTGGTTCGTGCTGCTTTTTCTCAGCGATTTTAAGTAGCTCGTTGAAATCCATGGGCGGTGGCAGGGATTTCTTCTTGTGCTTGGGCTTCTCCTCTTTTTCTTTCCTCTCGTCTTCCACAATTCTTTCAACCTTCTCAACTTTCTCTTCGGGCTCAGCATCCGTATCCTTGGCAGTCAATTTCCTTTTCCGACGATGCCCCAAGGCTTCCTCTATTTCTTGTTGTTTCAAGGCCTGCTTAACTCTATCCTGCAATCACAGTCGGTCTTAACAGGACTCGAGGAGAAGTGGTTTAACTAATTTATTTTTACTATAATTTTTACTACGACTAGAATTGTACGATAGTAAACGGTTCTCTACATTTGACGACACAACTTATGGGTATAATATTAATTTATCATACGTATAACATTAAATTATCCAAGAGGCAACTGCAATGTAAACCTTTTACTACTGTTACTACGTAAAATAAAATTACGCCGTTCAAGAAATGGGAATTCTTCTCTCTGATCTGCGATACCCATTTGGTGGCCCTTGCAGTCTGTCGTCTCAAACACGAATCCGGAAGTAAAATTGCTCTAGCACCCTCAGTTTCTGAAAAATATTAGCTTTCGTGAGAACGCTGCACTCGGAGCAAGAACGAGCAAGTACGCGATAACTAAGAAGGTTGAATATGGAAAAGAGTTTCCAGAAGGAACCGTACAGAGTGTTTCGAACCATTCCAATTTAAGCCGAACACCATGTACATGCGTTTACTGAAATTTGTTTAACTTTTACATTTGCGCAAAGAGTAGATAGAGTGACAGAGCAATTTCGTTTCGAGATTCTACGAGGATCACCCAGTGGATATTTCAGAGAAGAATAACATTGCTTCAGGAGTCGTATTACCTTTGTCGTCGAATGAATTTTACTTATACGAATGAATCATACGATAGACTTTTAACAATAAGAGAATATCGTTTGCGTTTACATTAGACGCGAGGAAATGAAATATTGTAAAGAATGCCTCTTATTGTTCCTAATGATTGGTATAGTGGCAGCGTTGCAGCTTTCTCTACCTTTGTAGACGCGATATCCTTTATCGTCCTCTTCCCACTGTCGTTGAATAGTGGTTTTTGGGGAGGTGCATTGTTATACTTATTCATTAATTGGTTATAAAACGCCGAAGCCTCCTGCGACACGTAACCGTAATCGTCTTCGTCGGGTTGAGAGGGGCCTGAAAGGAACAAAAAGTTACTTACTCTGACATCGATAAAAAAAATCAAGTTTTACAAACTTTTTCAAAGTAACTAAGTTTCTTATTAAAAACTTCATACCGCTTGTAAAAGAAACTTTGTTTCGATAGAATTCCTACGATGTATTCTTACATTAAAGGTATACTTCAATTACATAACGATAAACGTACCTGCCATTGTAACAGCTGTGTTCTCATTGTCGATCGCATCTTCCAATACAGCCTTGTTCGCCGCCTTGCATACTTTCAAATGTTTGCTTATACGACTTTGTGCTCTGTGATCGCGTAACGCCAATAAATTCTAAGGATGAAAATTACATTAAAGAAAAATCGATGCGTAACAAAGATTCGTTTGCGAAGAAGAAGCAGGTTGCATCGTACCTCCCTTTTCTTCTTTTCTTCTAGAACTTTCTGTTTCTCTTCCTCTTCTTTGCGGGCCAAGAATTTCTTGATATTCTCCGAAAGATTCTTACTCTGTTTCGCTGATTTCTTTGGCGGAGCGAATTTCGTTTGATAACAGGCAATCGGCTACGAGAAATGAAAGACAATTAAAACAGTGTGCTCTTTTTTTAGAAATGAGATGAGATCGTATTGAAAGAATTTAATAACCTGTTTGACATTTTCGTTCTTCTGTGCTACGGTCAACAAAGTTCCAAAATCCATATTGACAAAACGATGAGACTATCGCAACATAACTCGCGAATTCACATATTAGTTCGGCATTTTATTTTACATTAACCGTTTATAAATAAATCGTCGAGTTTTTAAACGCGCTCGACATCGTGTATGTACATTACTTGAATGTATTATCGTAAATCATTCGCTCGAACACTGTGCGAGCTTTGTAGAAAAATATATATCTACGACTTCGAATTGCTTCGAAGAAACAAGAAAAGCGAGGATGAACGAAGACGAATTAATTGTTTGCGAAATTCGTGACACATATAAAATTACGTCACTAGTCTCCGATAGGTGGTGCTGGATGTCGCCATTCGAATCCACGAATAACGAACACGTGGCTAACTCGAACTCGATTTCTGAGCCTACAGTCAGCGTAAAAAGTATTCGTACAGCACCCCATTTAAAATAAATGGTTCCTGTACGAATACTTATTACACTGACTGTACGTCTCGTTTGGAGACCAGCCTTTAAGTTTCTAGGGATATAAATCGCCGCGTAAGATAAATCGATAAATTTTCTTCGCTCTGGTGAGAAAATAATAATACTATAATTACTATAACTGAAAATATGCTCATACGTTTGAGAATAAACTTTTAAACATTGTCGATTAGATGGAATTAGATTTTAAACATGTTTAAAACTAGGTTTCTAACTAGATTTTCAGGCCAAGCTAGTGATTTCCTACACCAGTTATTACTAGACTGCGGATCGGTGTCCAAAATAAAATTCAATCTAAATAGGAATTTATTTTATTCTGCAAATGTTATAACATGAACTTTACCTTCAATCTTTTTTTGTATTCTTGCATATTGTTTGCATTTTGTAATAGTAACATATCCTAGTAACATTTCTATACTCAATTCTAAACAGTCTTTATATTATTATTTATAAAAGCACAATTAGGAATGTTGTAAGCAAAATTAATCCCCAAAATTAATTATCGTACAATCCTGTACAGTTTATGCTCCCGGCAATGGGTATGAAGCCAAGCGGTCGGCCATCTTGCGTAGCCAATTTACGGCGGGAAATTTAAACGGGACTACAATTGAAAATATGATTATATGTTTCAAAACAAACTTTTGGAGTTTCAACGCTTCGAATATCTAATTTTTTGTTATAGATTTGTTACGTTTTGCAATCCACCAATGGTTACAATGCGTCCACTACTATACATACGAGTGTGATTGTTTAAATAAAAATCTTACTTGATTTGAAATCTTACTATATTTTTTTCTTTTTTGTGCAATAATCTTTCGCTTGCGATTACTATGGACCAGGGATGCCATAAATTCCCTTCACTAAAGTTATGTGCAATTGCAAACGTAAACATTACAGATTTTTATAAGAGTTTCGCCTCTTTGAAATTGCACTCTGTGTTTTCCTCGTGCTCGTGATCTTATCATCCAGGAATGGTAATGGTAACCCTAGTTTTATTTATTTTAATTTTTCCTTCTCGACTAATTTCCTTCAATTAGTTTCGATTGATTTACCATACTATGTACACCATATAATATTAAAGGAGTGTGCCAAATAAATTGCACAAATGTAATACGCAACAAAAGCATTACTGATACAGAGAAATTTGATCAAAGTTCCAATGTACTATAAATTCATAACAATTAGCTATAAATTATCTAATAAAACCCCGTTACATCTTTCATGCTTTTTACAGGTTGATGTTTGTCCAAGGAATATCTCAATTTCGTTGAAGTTATCTTTGTTTTCTCTATATGAGCGCATCTTGTAGCAGCATATGATCCATTATTTATTCCTGTGATACTTAAATTGTTAGTAATATGGCTGTCAGACCGTTTTTATACTTAGGCGATAGCGTATGCAAATGGTAAGACACTTGGAGTAACTACAAAGATGAACCAAGATTATTGTAAATGGAATAACAATTTTGTCGTATTTTCCAGCGTCTTCAGCACTCTGCATCGCAAACCAAAATTGCGTACGGATGAGATATACAGACAGACTAGAAATTTTAAAAAATTGAGAGGCAGAACGAGAGTATCGGAAGAGTCCTTTGCAAAGGATTACGTCGAAAGAGGACCCGTACATTTTTCTAAAATGTTAAAACCATTCGCTTTTACAGTTGTGGTAAGCGAACGATAATAAAAAGTTGTCCTAATGCAGAACCGAACAGTTGACGAAATAGAAATTTCATTTGTATCAATTCAATTCAAGCATAAGACACGTTTCTTGTGCCATAAGTTTCACCGTTTTCATCATGTCAGTTTAGTGGAACGACATTCGTCGCAGCTGCCATTTGGGAATACGAGCGTATCAGAGAAAGAACCTACAGGATCATTAACCACTATAACCCGTTGAAAATACGCGTTTGTATAACAAAACATATACATATATACGCTCGCAAGATAATAGACACTATTAAAATATGGATTACGTTCAGCGAACAGGATGGAGACACGATATGGAAATTTGGTGGAAAAATTTAGCGGAGGGAAGAAAGATATTTATGTCTATATGTTTCCTAAACGTCATGGTGTTTCTTGCGTGGCGTCTCCCAGTATTCCAGAAGACAATGGTACAATATTTCTGCACTAATCCTGCTTCCCGTAAGTTACACATTCTCTTATGACGAAACTGTAGCATAGATTGGGAAAGATGTTATTTTATGATTCGAACAAAGGTGCGGTATGTTGGCCGATGCTGTTGTCGTCGTTCTCCCATTACTCGTTCCTACACTTAGCTGCCAATATGTACGCGTTGCACAGTTTCAGTTCTTTGGCTGTCGCAGCGTTGGGTAAAGAACAATTTCTGGCACTTTATCTGACTTGCGGCGTGGTGTCTAGCTTCGCCAGTAATTTATTCAAAGTTACGTTTGGTTTGCAAGGCCTTTCCCTGGGAGCTGTAAGTCGAGCCTACTTTCTTTCATTTATTCGCTGGAAAATGTAACGACGTTCGTTAATCGTTTCTTCTTTGTACAGTCTGGAGCAGTGATGGGTGTCTTTGGATTTATATGTACTCAGTTTCCGGATACGTATTTTTCCATCATTTTCCTTCCCATGTACAAATTCACAGCGGGCATGGTACGTCGATAATCTTTATAATTAAAATAGAGGTTCTTTGTGTAGTTACGTTAAATAATAGAAATGCTTGTAAGTAGGCACTGAAAGCAATAATGAGCCTGGATATCTTGGGATGCCTTTTGCGCTGGCAATATTTCGATCATGCTGGCCACTTGGGTGGAGTGTTATTTGGAATGTAAGCATACACGTAAGAGAAATTTAGTACATTCGAACAACGAGGCAATAATTGTACGTTTCTTTCTATGTTGCAGGTTTTGGCAAGCATGGGGTAACGCTAACATATGGCAAAAACGTGAACCAATTTTAACTCTTTGGCACGAATTGCGCGGACCACCTGGGTCTCGTTGATGTTTCGCTGTGAAATTAATGTCCACGCGCTACTATCGTTTCGACCGACAACTGTAAAAATTGTATACATAAACGATACGCAGAATTATTTATACATTTACTTTTTTCGTCTGTTTACAATTAGGAATCTGAAAAAACTGGACGAGCTCGCCGTGCTTACGGAAATAATTTATTTACAAAGTTTATTCTAATTCTGTTCGCAGTATAAACCCATTTTCTTTTTCGTATAAAAGTGTGCCTTCAGTGTTCACCGTAACATAAAAAAGGTAAACGAAATGTAAAATACCTTCGACTATGTTTTAAGATATTTCGCATGATGTTTGATATGATCTTCGATGAATGTAGATATAAAGAAGTAACTATGATCGTAACCTTCTTGATATCTGACAGCTAACAACAACCTAGCATCCTTTGCAGCCGTTAACAAATTCTGTGGCAATAATTGTCCGTCTTTCAAAAATTTATCTTCCTTTCCCTGGAATTACAAAGCATACGTTTATCGTAATTATTTTTTGAACGATTATAGCGATACGATACCTGATCGATTAAAATATCCAAAGGAGGCCCATTGTATTTCTTAGCTAGCTCTGTGGCATCCCAATCTTTCCATATGGTGCTAGCCTCCGCCTCACCAAAGTATCCAGCAAAAGCTTTCTTGCCCCATGGACACGAAATTGGATTACTTATGGGCGCGAAAGCGGACACTGTTTTGTACAATCCAGGATTTTTTAAAGCACATATTAGAGCTCCGTGTCCACCCATGCTTTCGACAAAGTGCCTCGTTTACATCTTTCCGCGAATGAAAAAGCTTTACATAAATTATATTCCTGTTTTACCTGTGTCCCATTACGGACTGCTTGTGTGGCAAGATTGGAAACTTCTCGTTAATCAAAGCAGGAAGTTCTTTGGTAACGTAGCTATACATTCTATAATTTGTTTTCCAAGGTTCCTTCGTTGCGTCCACATAGAAGCCAGCACCTGATCCGAAATCCCAGTCGTCGTCTTCCCCTGGTATATTAAGGTTACGAGGGCTTGTATCGGGTGCGACTAAAGCTACTCCATGTTCGGAAGCATACTTTTGTGCTCCAGCTTTCTGAATAAAATTAGCTTCCGTACAGGTTAAACCGGATAGCCAGTAGATAACTGGTACGGGTCCTTCTTCGGCTTGCGGCGGTAGGAAGACTCCAAAATTCATTGCACATTGTAGTTCGGTACTATGCAATAAATTATTACTTTAGTAAATTGGAACTTTTTACTGGTGCGGTTGATAAGCTATTGGTTAGAGCAGGGACTGCCGTAACTATGAATTTACCTGTTGTGAGAATAAACTTTCTGCCATCCTCCGAACACTTTGTTACTCGAAACTTCTGTGATATCAGGCATCGTGTGTCTTACGATATTAAAAATAATTTAGTGAGTATTTCTGGGGTAATTAAGTATACTCGAAAGACCCAACTCTAGCTATGGAGAGTTTTCAATTTAAGATTTTAATATAATTTTCAATTTCACCTCTAATGATTGCTGATTTATTAGTTTGCTTGTAAATAGATTTTGATCGAAATTCTCAAGTGACCAATTGACGATAGAATTTTGTAACGTGTATGAATCAACTATTCCACGAGATTCCGAACTATTATCATTGATTACTCTTTGAAATTAGAGTCAAAAGGTTAAAGGTTAAAGATTAGATTTCGTTTGTCGTCAACGAAGAAGTGAGGTTATCTTCCGAGTTAGCGACGCGTAAATCGAAACTACGGTTTATTTTTAATAAAATATGTATCTACCTTGCGATCGACGAAATTATGCGCAGGATTTTTATGGAATTCTCTGCAGAAAACGGTGACAATGTGAATTGCGAGTAATGAAAGCAAAATTCTTGTCACATGCTTCGACGACGTTCGCTGGTTCGCAATGGAACTAGTGCTGCGCATGCGCGTGTACTGGTGGCAAATTTGAAATACTTTAAACGACTTCAAATACATTTCACTATAAACTTGGATAATGTAATAAATATCATAGTAATTTTATAATACTTGTAGTACTTTTTTTCTTACTTACTGCATTAAACTGTTGATATTGATAGAATTTAGAAAATATAAAGCTTATTTGATCTATGCTTTGACTATATACTGGAGTTAATGCTCGATAATTCCTGAACCAGTGGATTTCTTTTCTTAAAACTTACATTTTTGAATTTAGAATTCTGCTATGTAAAAAGATCCTCAAAGTAAACGTCGCATTCATTAATGCATGCGTTTATCCTTTTGAGACAGCGTTCCCTATTTATTAATAGACAAGGGAATGTTTTCACTACGCATCATTCTTCAATATAACATTCCCAGCTAGTTTGTTACAGCGTACAAATAATTTACAAGTCCCATTTTACTAAGCGTAGATCAATGATGACACTCCCATTGTACAAAGCGTAGATCAATGATGACGCGCAAGGATTATAATTGAGCATGATTCACAGGACACCGAATGGTTGTCATGACAGCAAATTGTAAACTTTTTCTATAGATACACATGTATTGTAGTTTGTGTATCAAGAAATCCTTTGATGAGAGAATAAGATATAAGCATGGCCATGAATAACAATATAGACACAATTTTGAGCGAGTTAGGGTGGAATGATGGATTTCGAATACCAATAGCGAATGAGGAGAACCGAAAACTGGAGGAAGAAGTAATAGTCACTCGTATTGATTTGGTTTTCCTTTGAAATTGTACGCATGCCTTTGTTTTCCTTATTATTGTCGCTGTAGATAGTTGCACAGTAGTATCCACCGATAAATAAACTACACAAAAGCCAAAAGTAGATTTTACAAACGATGCTTCATACGTACACATGATTTCTTATGTTTGCTTGCAAACATACACTCAATGTTATTAGGCCACTTACAATTATTCCTAGTCTTGTTAAAGGAATGCTTGAATTTTCATGAAAAGATTGAGAGGAAAATGAAACTGAAAAAGAGTTTAAGTGCAAAACTGGAGTCTACGGAAGAACGACTGAGAATGATGAAGAACCGTATTTCGAATTTGAAAGTGGAGCGAGATATAAATCAGAAACTCTTAACTACTCATTCGACTCAACTTGAAACAGAGAATCATCATTATAGACTCAGTTGCAACACCGAAACGAGCCTACGTCGAGAGGCGCGAGATTTCGAAAAGGAATGGAAGAAAGTTAACGAGGCAGTATCTGGGGTCATGAAAGAATTGGAGAAACTGACTAAAAAGATAGAATCCTCTAAAAAAGTGGTTGAATACGACGAACAGAGTCTACGCGAGTTGGAGGAAAAGTTAAACCAAAACGAGAACAATAATCAATTGATTGAGCAATACATGAAAGAGGATGCGAAGGAGTATAAGGTGAGTAGACATAGAGTATTTGCAGTAAACATTACACTATGATGAATAAAAGTATAACGAGCACATTATAAATTAAAAGAAATAGAAGGAAAGCATCGATTCTGTAATGTATGAAGTACCAGATAATCAGTTTACCTTTCACACCGTAGGAACTGGAGCTACGAAGACAGAAACTTAGCACAGAGTTACAGACTTATCAAGAGGCAATTATTAAGAGAACTAACGAAGCGAAAGAAATGGAAATTATCCTTGATAGAACGAGTAGATTGTACGACCAAGCATTAGCAGATTATCGACAAATGTTCAATCAATGGAAGGAGAGCGTAATCATGTTGCAGCAAAGAAATAATGATATCAAAAATGTTCTTCGAGTACGACACAAAACATCACACTATTTTATCTATTGCTATATAAATTATTATTTTATTCCACGAATAACTAGGAATTATTCTATGCAGAATACTGAAACATTGCGAGAGACTTTAGAAAATGAGAAAAGCGTACTCGAGGAATCAGAAAACTTTTTAAAGGAGCAAACCGAGAATAACAAACAAGCGGAACAATCGATTAAAGTGTTGGAGAAGAAGCTTTTCGATATGAGAGAGGAACAATGCAAACTGAAGGAAACGTTTGATGTGTACGAAAACCAGGTACGAGAGGAAACAAGTACTTGAACTCTCAGATGAAGATGAAACATTGAATTTTTAAATTGCAGCTTGCGATACAGAAGAACGTTGCAAAAGAGTTGACTCAACGTGTGGAACAAGTACGAGTTGACACAAAACGGAAAGAGACAGAAACACGGATCAAGTATGCGAAAATAGAGAAGCTAGAGAAACAAGTGATCGAATTAACTGGAAAGTTGGAAGCCATCGATAGTCAAAAATTGAATATCGAAGAGAAGGCGAAGGAACTGGAAAGCATAATTGAGGTATTCTTCTAAACGATTCCTTTGTTTGAACACCTTTTAATATAATGTGATATTTAGGAACACGAGAAGAAGAAAGTAGCGTTGATCAAGGAAGTTAATCAACTCCAAGCTGCGAACTTACGTATCACAAATGAAACAAAGCAACTAGAGAACGAGAGCAAAGTTTTGAAGACGCAGTACGAAAACGAATGTAAAAAGTCGGAACATTTGGATAAATTGTACGCCAAGCATGAGAAAGAGTTAGAGGAAAAGAAACAACGATTGTACCAAGTGGAATTCGAGGTGCAAAAGGCTGTAATGAAATTGGACAGATTGAGAGGGCACGAGCAGGACAAGGGTGAAGCAGAAAGGAAACAGCAAAAGATAGAGGAGCTACAGAGCACTTTAAACGAAAAAATGGACATGTCAAAATTATTGCAAAAACAAATTGCAAGCTTAGAGGTAGGTGAAATTAATTTCATTTCTCTTTCGAGTTCAAATTTAACATATTTTTCTAATTGTACAGCACGACATGAGAAAAATATCGAACAGCATGGCAAGCAACAAGAATCAATTAGAGTATTTAAGAAACAAAAGGCAAGATCTAGTTCTTCTCATGGATGCAGGAGAGAAACGACTCAAGTCTGCCCAAAATCGTTTCGAAGAGAAACAAGTGGAAGAAAGTATCTTACGACTCAAGGTTTCGCAGATGGAAAAGATGGTTTCTAATCTTGGGGATAATGTTTATGATTTGAAAAGATATCGGCTAGAATTGGAAGCTGTAAGTCTTCATTGGAGTAGTACGCGTTGAAAATACTATAATATTGAAAATAGTGTGACAAGTCAGAATTATTGTACGATTGTTTAGGCGATACGAGAACGCAAGGCTGAGATCTCCGTGCAGAAGGATTCCCTTGTAGTTCAGAAAAGGGTTGCTGCCAACGAATGCTCAGAGTTAAGAAACGCTATTTCGGAAAGGAAAATACGAATCAAACAATTGCAGACAAGATACGAAAATGGGGCAGCTATATTAGGCACCAAAGAGGACGGCACGCCCATAAATACGACTCATTTGAAGATCCAGAATGCGCAGGAGAGGTACCTTTTGCAAGAACAAGGTGACAAACTGGATGAAACGATCAGGAAAGCGGAGCACGAGATACAAGCCATGGAAAATACGCTACGGGTGATAAATGTCTGCAACGACAAATACAAGACGACATTAACAGAGGATGAACAAGATAAAGATAAAGTAGAAGAACACAGGAAATTGGACCGAGAGCTACAGAATGCGAGACAGAGTCTAAAAGAAAAACAGGATGAATTCCGATCCTTAACAAACGATTTACAGAGAATGCAAAACGATTACGCCCAAATTCTTAAAGATATAGACGAGGCTCGAGAAACGAAAGAAAATAAAGATCAATATTTAACGGAGCTGAAACAGCAAATCCACGACCAGGAAGAAAAGATATCGAGAGCTGACAAAAATTTGAGAAATGCTCAGAAAGATATTCAACAAATGTTTTTAACTACGGGAAACGAAACGGTATTGATACAAGAGGTTTGTACGTTGTACGAAATACTTATACATAGCTAGACTGCGGATATTTATGCAAAATAAAATCATCGTGAACGTGTCCACAAAAATTGTATCTAAATAGGAATATATTTTATTCCGCAAATATTATAACATCTTGCATATCGTTTGGATTTTGTACTTTCTTGCACATTCAAATTTCCTATAACATGTATAAAGATCCGCAGTCTATACGTAACAAACTTATTTTAATAATAACGACATTCAACGCAGAAAGAAGTAGAACTACGGGAAATCCAAGAACAAAATTCCATCGTCTTGCAAGACATCGCAGAATTTACAATTAATCACGTGGAAGCTGAAGCTTACATAAAAAAGCTTCTGGCAGCTAAAAACATAGAACTACCTCCCGTTCCGTTACCCGATCAATCGTCAACGTCCAGTCAATGTCCCAGTACTAAACGCTCGGTGGATCATTTGCCAAAGACGTATCGCAAGACCGTCGCGGTAACGTCCAGAGAAAGTATCGGAAATATCGTCAACATAGAACCTGAATTTCAAAGTAAGCCCACAATTACGCGCGATAGTTTAGTTAATTGCAACACACTCGTACGACTTTTACTTTTGTTTCAGCGATCTCGACGAAGGCTTCGGTGAGAAGTATCGTCAGACATGAACAAAAGTCTGTAAAAGTACAGAAATAACTACAAGTTTTTAAAAAGTTTTTTCATTTTCAATGGAATTCTTATTAAGACTTTGATAAATAGTCGAAGAGTAAATACTATTCTTGTGATACCAAAGAGGAAGTAAAAGTTAACAATATCTAGTGGATGGTAAAGGGGAGTTGTTAGTGTTAGAGAATATTCCTCACTT